AATATTTTGTAAAGTACAACACAGATGTTATGGCCTCTAAAGTAACCCCTTTAGTAGCAAGCTTGAAAAATATTGAAGGTCATGGTATTGAAGGGTGCAATGGCATTGTAAGCGTTGAGAGTAGCAATGCTCCTGCTGACTTTGTTGTGGAACAAAGAAATGTGGTAATTCGGGACAATGAAACTGAAACTGGTGGGAATGATTTTAATTGGAGTGATTGGGTTGAGGAAGTGAATTTTGAAAGTGGTGAAAACATAGTTGTTGATTTCAATGAACCTAGCAACGAAGAGGAACCGCAGTCTGCTCCGATTCTGCATCCTCATGAGGACAGCAATGTCGAACCGTCCACTGTGCAGTGTAGACAGGTGCAATCCGAACCTCCCCGACAATCAAGTTCGACTGAAATGCATACAAGTCGGGGTGATTTGAAGCATGGTCAGAGTTTGGAATATATTCAGTATGGTGGAGGCGTTTCGTGCATAAATTAGGAAGCAAATTTGAAGGTTGGCCGAGTTTATCCAAATAAGATTGCCCTTTTAAAAACCATCAGTTTAGCAGCTATTAGAGGCCACTTTCGATTGAGAACTGTCCAATCTGGGAAGCATCGGTTGTGTGTTCGCTCTTGTTAGCTTCCTTGCCCTTGGAAAGTTCGGGCATATAAAGTTGGAGTACATGAGTTTAAGGTTGTTAAATACGATCCACTTCATGAATGTGATATAACGTATATAAGTAGTCATCATCCTCAAGCTACGACTGAACTGCTGTCTGACTGTGTTAAGTGGAGATTTCAGGATTCGCGCAGCATTTATACAGCAGCTGATATCAAGAAAGATGTGAAACAAAATTTCGGTGTGAGCATAAGCTACTCTACAGCGTGGAGAAGCCGAGAGTTAGCTTTCAAAAGAATTAGAGGGTCTGCAGAAGAGTCGTATTCCCTTCTCCCTTCCTATTGTTATGAATTGGAGCGTACAAATCCAGGAACTTTGACATACATAGAGACTGATGCAGCTGATCACTTCTTATATTTTTTTATGGCAATTGGTGCATGCATACGAGGATTTAAGTCGTCAATGTGGCCTGTGATTGCTGTTGATGCTACTCATTTGAAGTGCAAGTATAAAGGTGTTTTGTTTGTTGCGACCGCATTTGATGGAAATCGGAACATATATCCTGTTGCCTTTGGGATTGGAGATTTGGAGACGGATGCAGCTTGGGAGTGGTTTTTGAGAAAACTACATTGTGCAATTGGTGATTGCTCGAATCTCGTTGTCATATCAGATCGCAATGTTAGCATACAGAATGGGTTGCGTAGAGTTTTTCCTGGGGCAAGCCATGGTATTTGCTTTTATCACTTGAAAGGCAATATCAAAGCCTCATTTAAGTTGAAGCAGCGGGATCCGATATTGGGGTATTTTGTAAGGGCAGCTAAGTCTTATCGTCTAGCGGAGTTCAATCGTCACTTTTCCAGGATAAACAATGACCGAGTGCGAACTTATTTACTACGTGCAGGCGTCCAGAAGTGGTCTCGGGCCCATTGTGATGGACGACGATATAATGTGATGACAACGAATATTGTGGAGTCCATTAATTCAGTTCTTTGGTTTGCAAGGATGTTTCCGGTGCTACACTTGATTGACGAAATTACAAATCTACTTGTCTGTTGGTTTAGGCAACGTCGAGAGTTAGCAATGAAATCTCATTCTACGTTGTGCCCTGATTTAGGGGAAATTAAGTTAAGGAAGAGGTTAGACGCTGCGTCAAGGATGAATGTGGTCAAAATCAATGACGTCGAGTATAATGTTCTGGATGGTGATTTGAACGGTCTGGTGCACTTGCAAAACCGTAGTTGTACATGCAGGAAGTTTGACTTGGAGCAACTCCCGTGCAAGCACGCTATTGCGGTATGTCGGCACTTGAAATTGAACCCCTACTCCTTTGCCTCTTCTTATTATACACGAGCTACATGGGCAGCTGCATATGCTGAATCTATTTATCCTGTACCACCTGAAGGCACATGGGTTATTCCCCAAAATTTGAAGAAGGTCAAAATCCTCCCTCCTCTTTGTAAGGTTATGCCGGGCCGTCGCAAAACACAAAGAATAGCTTCGAGAGGAGAGGAGTCCCGTCAAAAAAAATGCTCAAGGTGTGGTGTGAAGGGCCACTACCGAAGTACATGCAAACAATCTGTCCCTCTCACCAACAAGCAGCACGTTGCGTAGATGTTACACTTGTTTAGTTTCTACCGCTGTTTTCGTCAACTGTGAAGTTGATGAATAGCTTCGGTGATGCTGCAG